ATTTAAAAATTACACAATCAAACCAAAACAAAATACAAAGTAAAATGGAAGTTTTGGTAATTTAAGGAACAAAGGGACAATAATTTATATAAGAAACAAAAAATAACAATGAATAAATGAGACAAAATAAGTTTTCCAAATCTTTTTTTTTTCTCCTCCCATTATAAAACTTATAAGATTTTAACAAAAACTGCAGGCGTGTGTCTGTGTCTGATGGTTAAAACATGTTTGTTTTTCATCCAGTGGGTAAAAAATCCAGAAATGTAAAAAGTACAACGTACTAAAAATAGTCCTAAAAGTAAATTTTCTTTTTTCAAAAAACTTACTCAAGTAGATGTAATTGCATAAATGTAACTAGTTATTTCTCAACTCTGGCTGTAACTGATAGAGATCTTGTTCCATTCTGGGAAGAATATGTATTTCTTCACCACATTGTAAAACTGATCGTTAAACATGACTTTGGAAATTTATATTTATGGCAGCTTATTTTTGTAGCTAGGAGTGTAGTACTTTAAGGTAAGCTACAACTCTATGGCACTTACTGATTCTTAAAATACTTTCGTCTATGTCTGGATCTGGGGGGAAGAACTTGCTTTCTGTCCTTTCACCTGCCTCAGTTATAACTAGTTACATTTACTTCAGTAACTTTGTGAAACAAATCAAAAATCAAAAACTTTTAGGCATACTTTTACTACACCGTACTTGTTACTTTTACTTAAGTGATGTTATTAGGAAGCACTGCCGTTCTTACTTGAGTAAAATTTCTGAATATTCACTGTCAGTAACTTTACAGAATAAAGAACAAGATCGTTTTAACCAAATCTGTGTGAGATAAAGACACATGAAATGTTTATTGCTCGTTTCATAACTGATGACTATATAATGATTTTATGATGTAAAGCACTTTGAACTGCCTTGTTGCTGGAATTAGCTATAAACTTGACACCTATTGTTGTTAAAGTGGGACTCATCATTTGTACAAAAGTTTGTTGTTCTTTATTTTCTCTCTGTTGAGTCTTCTGTTTCCTTTGGAGACATAAAGACTACAGTAAATACATATATCATGGAAAGTACCTTACCTTATTATAACATTTATTAAATTTATAATATCAAGTGTAAGTATTAGTTTAATAACTTTTATATTGACGAATTATGACTTAGAATAGTGTTCATTCTGCTTGGATTTGTTATTCTGCAAGATTATCTATCGTAATAATTTCTTAAATATCAGAATTTGAGAATTTTTGTCTCTCTGGTGACGTGATTTCTAAATAATATGTAAAATGATCTAATCAGCCTTTTACTAGACAATACTTATTTTTTCTTGAGTAATTTCTTGGGCAGTTTGAGTAAAACTATATTGAAGAAGTTGAGTACTCTACCCACCTCTAGTTATAAGTCATTGTAAATTGCATCTGTTTTACCCTTGATTTCAAAGAACTCAGCGTTTCAGCTGTTAAACAGTTTTCTGGAAGTTTGTTCCAGATTTGTGAGATGCAGAGCAGATCAGAACCAGAAGACCTGAGAGGTCCGAAGGCTGAGACTCCAACAGCAGATCTTTAATGTATTGTGGTGCTAATCCATTCAGTGATTTATAAACTACCAACAGTATTTTAAAGTCTATTCTCGGAGCTACAGGGAGCCAGTGTAGGGACTTTAGAGCTGGTGTGATGTGCTCTATCTTCCTGGTTTTAATGAGGATACCAGCTGCAGCGTTCTGGATCAGCTGCAGCTGGAGGATTTTTTTTTAGTCACATTGATTGCAGTAATCAATGCGACTAAAGATAGACATGTGAATGAGTTTCTATAGAAGTTACTGAAACATTAGACCTCTCATCCTGGAAATGTTCTCCAGGTTGATAGAAAGACGACTTTGTAACTGTCTTTTATGTGAGTCTGATATGTGAGTCTGAAGGTTCAGGTCAGAATTCATCACCACACCCACATTTCGAGTTTCTAGCTGTGTGTTGACTCTAGATCGTTCCTCTTTAGGTCCAAAGACAATAATTTCAGTTTTGTTTCTGTTCAGTTATGGCACATTAACACACTGATTTGTCTGTTTAGTGCACTGATGGATAAGAGTTGCCTGGTGACCAGTAAAACATTCATTTGTTTCTAAATCCTGTGGCAGACACAGTTTATGATGAAGGGTAACTTTAAGCAAATAAAAGACATGGCTTTTGAAAAAGATGTGGCCATTGAGTTTGTTTTTTTTTTTTACGAAACACATTTAGTGCCCTGCAACGTCCGAGGAGGCGTGGTCACTGATTAAAACTTATCAGTCAAGGTTGACTTCACATTCATCTCAGGCTTCTAACCTCTCAGGTGTCATCCACTCATAGCTTGTACTGCTTTTGGTCTTTTTGTGGGATTTTAACCTTTCAACTAAAAGTTTATTTATTTATTTTGATAATGGCTAAAACATTGACTGTGACATTCACCCTTTGGATTATCATAACCACTGTCGGTAAGTGTTAATGCTTTAGTATACAATGTTTCAATCGTTTTGTTTAGAAGTAGTAGTCGCAACTTTTTTCTGCTCTAGTTTGATTCTTTATTATTTTTTGTCCTTATTCAGGTCAGACTCCATCACTCCATTAATGGAACATCTAATGTTTGTTCTAACTGCATTAACAAACATTAGATGTTTGTTAATGCAAACATTAGATGTTTGCATTAACATTAGATGTTAAGAGCAAACATTAGATGTTTGTTCTTCCATTAATGCAGAAACAGCTGGTCTATAAAGACTTATAAGCAGAAGTGGAAAGAGTAAAAAAATAATAAAAGTGCAATTACTTAGATAAAATGTTCCTTAAATACAAGTTACCACTCTAAAAAGTTAGTCAAGTAAAAGTTTAAAAGTATCTCATTAAACTTTCATTTTTAAGCAAATTAAAACTTTCATAAAACATTCATAAGATGTTTTATGAATGGAAAGTGCTCATAAACTCATAAATAGATCCGATTTCAAATGTAATTGAGTAAAGCACATAACTGAAAACATGCTTAGGTAGAAGGAAAAGTTCAGGTTTTGTAAACTACTTTTAAAAGTAACAATTACAGACAAATTGTACTTAATTATAGTAGCATGGGTAAATGTAACCAGTTACTTTCTATTACTTTCTGTTTATAAGTGATGCAGGTGAAGGGACAGTTTAACAAATTAATTAATTAAATTGGAAAATATTTATATTCTTTTTTTACATCTTGTGACTAAAATAAACCTTGGTAGTGTAATGGACACAACCATGATTATTTTTTTAAAATAACTGCCTCAAACTGAGAAATAAATCAAAATCCCAACATCTGTTTATGTTAGAATAAAACATGAACAGTAAAATTAGTTTGTATAATTGCGTTAATTTTAGCGTTTATAGGTTTATTTTAAAGTTATTTTAAAAATAACTAATGTTTGAAAATCAGAAAAGTTTTAAAGTTTAAAGATGATGCAGCTTCTCTTGCTTTTCTTTCAGTGACCTTCACTGAGCTATAAATTTTGTTGTTGTGCAAGATCACTCCTAACTCCGAAATGATTCATCTGGAGTGCTTACCGTATATTATTTTATAAGTATAAAAACCGCCAATCGTTAACCATGTATCTTTATTTAAACTGAAACATTTTTAAAATAATAGCTGACTCTTAGCAATATACGCTTTTTTTTTTTTAGAATCTGGAAGCTACAATAGAAAGAAATATCCATTATTGTGTCACAGTAGGGAAATTCCAGCACAACAATAGCAAAGTGATCTGTAACCAAAGCAAGTATATTCACACAAACATAGGAGTATAAAATAGATTAAAAAAAAAAATAAAAAAATAAAAAAACAGAATAAAAAAACAAAACAATCTTACCCTAACCCTTAAGAGTGAAATTTCAACATAAATAATGTGCAGTAAAGATGTGCTGATCAGGCTTTTTCCTGCCGATTCCGATCACCCATGAGGGCCGATCACCGATACCGATCACATATTATTTTTTCAGAGATTATCTGTCTCATGTTAGGATAGCAAACGTTTTAATACGTATATAAAATGTATTTTTTTAAGTTAGATGCTGCAGCTTTAAGCAGAGGTTCGGTGTGAGAGTCACTACCAGGTGGAGCAGAAGCGGAGCTCTGTCTGTGAAATATTACTACCTGTAGCAGCGGTTCAACAGCGAGAGCAGAACCAGCGTCTTACATCGCAGCTCGAAGACTTAAATAATTTTGCGGGTTATTTGTTAAACTTTCTGACCGTCATGCTAATCCGGGTGAGTGTTTGTAGCTGTGCGCAGCTTTACCTGCTATCTGATCTCTCCATACGTCTTTTTTTACTGCAGTGAGCCTCGATGTAGCCAAACTCCGTTCAGTATGTCATTGTTTTTATGCCATATTAGATTTGTCGTGTTGATGCATTTTGACCTGCTTCACCCCGAGGTAATTTTCCGCCGCAACACGCAAACTTCCCCATTCACTCAGTGCGTCATAGTTCCACAAGACATCGCTCAGGATTTGTTGCTGAGCGTTTGCGCAGTGTGAAGGAAAGAGGAGACCAGCTGCACAGGCAAGCTGCGAAATATGATGCAGGTGATCAGTTTGTGTGATCCGCAACAAGAGACCGTGATCGGCGATCACCGATCATACACTTTTTCACGGAAATCGGTAGATTATGATCGGTGGCCGATCGATCGGCACACCTCTACTGTGCAGTTATTAAATCCAGTACAAACTAATGTGCAACTGTGTAGGTTAAATTAAAAAACATAAAAGTTGTGAAGGTGTATTTAAAAGTAAAAACAGGAGATTTACAGTAAGTGACCATAACAAAATATGCAAAAGATGGAATCCAGATAAAGGCAGCACTGTTACTTAAAATTAATAAAACTGTGCCAATGAATAAATGCTAACATAAGTATCACAACCACAGCAACGACAGAAGCAACGTCAACTACAGAACCTCCTGTGTCAACCGCAGATGGATCAACACATTCCATGACAACAAAGTCTCCATCATCTGCACCAACCACAGAAGCTACAACAGCTTCAACTCCTACAAAACCACCAACATCTGCACCAACCACAGAAGCTACAACAGCTTCGACTCCTACAAAACCACTGACATCCGCACCAACCACAGACACTACACTAGATACAACACCCACAAAACCTCCGACGTCTGGACCAACCACAGACACTACACCAGCTTCAACACCCACAAAACCTCCAACATCAGGACCAACCACAGACACTACACCAGCTTCAACACCCACAAAACCTCCAACATCAGGACCAACCACAGACACTACACCAGTTTCAACACCAACAAAACCTCCATCACCAACACCAGCTTCAACAGCTACTCCACAAACAGAAACTCCACCAACAAAGGGTCCAAGTCTTTCACCAAACACAGAATCTTTCTCAACGCAAGCTCCCTCCACAGCACCAGAACAAGAAACTACAGCACCTCCAAGTAATTCAGTTTCTTTGCAAATACATATAATATTTAGAAAGCACTATTTAAGTAAAATTGTCATTTTGTCATAATTATCAAGGTGCATGTGCTTCAAACCCATGTCCTGGTGAAAGCACCTGTGAAGAACGTGCTGACCTGATTTACCTGTGCTTGTGTCTGGCTGGTGAATTTCATTATAAGGATCGAGGCTGTAAAAAATGTGAGTATCTGAGTGTAAAGCAACATGGGAATAATCTTCTTCATTTAGCTTAGTGTAGAAACCTGTGAAGCAAGACCGTATTGTACATTTTGTTGCAGTGTCACCAAAATGACTTATGTCCTAAACAGGCTTAGGAATCTGTCCATTAAAGCAATAGAATCAGTTTTTGGGGGGAGAGTGGGAGGTTTGATCTTTTTTAACTTGACTATATGAATGACCTAACTTCACTAAAGCTACGTTAAAGAAGTAATTATCTATCCCTTGTTTCATTGTCTGTTAAAGGACTCAGATACAGGCATGAATTTAGAGCGTAAGTTGCTGCCCCCTGCTGATCATTGTGGGGATTTGTAAAGCGTTTCAAAGTAGACTTCCTCATCTAGAAAAAAAGAAATGTCAAAATAACGTGGATCTCAGCATAGTGACTTGTAGGGCCAATAGAATTGAATAAATATAAACCTTCAATTAATATTTATGACTCTGAATCTTATAACTATGTCCTAGTTTCGAGCTTCAAACTAACAACTGAACAAAAACTTGTCGAAATTTACTTTTACACTCATGGTCATGATTATGAACTTCACATTTTTGTACTGTAAATTAACTACCAAATTTGTAGAGTAACATGGAAACTTGAAATCATTACTATGAAAGAAAAATATATAACTATTATGTTAATACTTTTATACTCAAAATTTTAAGTTTGACATGCAAAATGATAAAATGATGATTTTGAAACTAGATTATGACTGACAATCAATTCTGCCTATAAATCTCATAAGTATGACTTTTAAACACTTTTTTTATTTTAAAATACTGAATTCTACTTTGTTTTTTAATGCTGGATATATGCTTTCTTAAGAAAAATTATAATGTCCATCTTGTATATGTTTTCTGTGGTATATACCCACCACAAAATGTGTTTATATATTTTGCATATATTAAGAAACAAACTTCATATATACACTCCAACTATTAATCATTTTGAATCCTAAAGTTCATATGTGTTTTGTCCCTTTCATTGTTAATGCTTTTAATTATACGGTTTGAAGTTAGATTTAGTTGCTGGTTTTCTAGCCATGATTTATTTATTAAAATAAAATCTGTAGTAGTAGTAGTAATAGGATATACCAGGTTAACAGTAACTTAACCAAATTAATAGTAATGTAACTGGCTAAGATATCTAACTGAAAAATATGATACTGTGGTAAATTGTCATTTTAAAATTTAAATTACTTAAATGTTTGTGTGGGATTTTTGTGGAAGTTTCCGACAATAACTTTGTTTTTCCAAATAGCCAAGGTTTTCCGTGTACTGCTAGACTTGATGGAACCATATGTTGACAAAATGGCCGACAAAACATCACAAATATTTAATGAAACTGTTAACAGAATTACTTATGAGGTAAGCACTCATTTTTCTTTCACTATATTTTATTTTAGCTCAAACATTGTAGTTAAAACAATATTGGGGAGTTATGCTGGTGTCACCTTTATTGTACTTAGGATTAAATTAAAAGATATTTTGTTCTTTGAGCCCAAACACTGCCTAAACAGAACGCTGTTCACTAAAATGCTACTTTTAATACACAGATTGACAAACAGTTCAGAGGTGTAGCAAAAGGATACATTAGAGCTTTAGTGCTGGAGTTAAGGTAAGTTTCAGAGTCAAAACTTCTATATGTAGAATGTATTTTCTATACATTAGTGAATATTTACAGTGTGACGTCAACTAATCCACTTTTTAGTACAATCTTCCTTAATTGTGACATTTTTCCACATAGGAATATAACAACAACAGTGAGGTCAGAGACAAACGGGGTTGAAGCATCAATAGAAATAATCTATGAAGCAACTTCTGATATCACAGAAGCAAAGGTAACAAAAACAATGGAAAAGGTCGCCTGTGGAAACTGTCCACTGGCAGGAAGTTTTCAAGGTGGGTTTTATACAAATATGTTCTTATTCTGCAGTCTAGTTTATGTTTCTCTTATTCTACATACAGTACGTTCATTACAGTTATCTTCCAGAATATCTGTTATATTGAACACAAACCATTTCTTACACTAGAGTTTTGCCTTTGTATTTTTTTGTTACTACATACTTATTTTAAACATTCTTAACATGAATGGCACCACAACATGCACAAAATATAGAAATTTTTGTGCATTTTGTGCAGTGATACATTTTGTGATTTCTGTAATGATTTCAAGTCTGAAGATGTTCAGAAGAATTTAGCTTTCAGGGATGTTCTTGATTATATGTGCATGCTCTGTCATGAGGTTTTCTGATCTCATCATCCTTTTTCTTTCCCATTTCAAAGTCAAAAGCGCTTGCGATTCCACTGCTTGTGAGGAAACATCTTCAGACTGCCGCCATAAAGATGGCCTTTTGACATGCGAGTGTAAACACGGCTACCTTACCTCAAATTACACTGAAAGATTATGTGTGGGTAAGGATATTTAATATCAGGAGAGTTGAAATGTGTCGCTGAGCACTAACTGTAGTGTAACTTTCTGTACTTTAGCATGTCCCGCTGGTAAGAAAGCTGAGGACGGCACATGTAAATCGTAAGTCTATCGATCAAAGTATTTGGCTCCATGGTTGTCTGCAAGTCCAACAGTTTTGTTAAACTATGTATTTTGTTTCAGATGCGGCTTTGGTCGTACTGGCTTTAACTGTAAGGACGGTGAGTATGCAGAAGTGAAAGTTGAAGCATATTCATCAAGATGTTAATTTTTATGTTTAGGGTGGGGACATGCAGCATGCTTGGATTTGGTTTATTATCTAAATTCTGAGTTGGAGTGTCTTAAAAAGAATCTGTTTGCAAAGCTGCACATTCAAAATACAGAATTCATACTTCAGACACAAAACAAAAAAAATCATTAAAAAATATTAAAGTTACCCTGTAATTTGAAGCTTTTATCCTCACAAGCCTGTTGTAGTCTATATAGATCTCATACGTTACTGTATTTTCTGCAGCAAAATATTTTGCAAGTGCAACTGACATTGGAAAATCTGCTTAGCTGGTGTGTCATGTAGTCTGTAAAAAATACACCACTGTGAGAATTTTCAGATACTTTACGCATTTATCAGAGTAAGGTCTTTAACGTTCAAACTTAAGGTTCTTGAGGCTGATTCAGTTACATGCACCTTGTCATTTTCTACCTTTTAACTTTCTGGGTTGTATATGCTTCTTAGCAGGAAAAGAGGTTTTCAACCTCAACAGGATTTTATTCTGGTATAATAAAATATAGATGAAAAAAAACTTCAAATATAGATGAAAATGAAATTATTTCTAGGCAATAGAAAATCAAATTTCAGAATCGGGCCAATGACACAGAGAAGCTGAGGAATATATTTCTAATAGGAGTTATAATGGGGGCACCACATGTGTCAGGGTAGAGGCAGTTCTGACTTGGGCCTTTTGCTGCTCATCTTTTCCTTCTTTCTAGACTTTACTAGCTGTGCAGCTATTGACAAAGGCCACTGGTGTCTCAAAAAAACTTTTTAAACAAGTTATCAAACTAATATGAACACAAAACATGAACTAAAAAGTAGTTTATTAGTTAGTTTTTTTTATGAAAGTGAATATTCCCTCTAATAACATCTCAGATTGAATCAAATCTTCAAATTTGAAAAATTGCTATGTGATCCTGTAAAGGCTGAGACTCATCATTGACGGCTTCTTTGTTGTTTGTTAGATGCGTTGTTCATTGCTGTGATCGTTTGCTCCATCCTTGGATTCCTGATGATCGTTGGGTTGATCGCTCAGCCATTTGTAATAAAAAAGTAAGTTTGAACCCTGTTCATTCATCACCTTAGTGACTTTTATAACCACTTTTGTATGTTTTTTCTAAAGCTGCTAGGTGTGCAAGGACATTTTAAAGTTGGGTGGTTTACAAATTAATTGCAGATAACAATAGAAAGCTAGCTGCAAACACAACAAGACAGACAGTTGCAGAACTCTGCGTTGTTCTTTTTTCAGGTTAAAGAAGAAAGGCTCCAAGAGCAAAGATGAAGACCTTTGGAAACCCAACCAATCCTCTTCCTTTGTCAAGCCTCCACCGCCCTACAGCAGCAGCAACGAGTTTTCCACTTGGATCAAAGAGCCAGCAAACAGTCCGGTAAATTCTGGGTTCCCTCGAATCCCACGGGCAAATACCAGCAGCAACTGGGGTAGCAAGGCCAACCTGGAGATGACTCCGAGCAACAGCCGACAAAACTTGTTTTTTTCAGGGGGAAACTCGGTAGGTATATTTCTGCATGAAACCTCATGTAGACAAACATCTGTGCTTTATTCACTCATAAATCCTAATATTTTTTCTTTTCTGCTGCAGCGATTCAACAACGACCAAGATGATATGTTTTCATTCTCCCAGATTCGACCCAAAATCAACCCCTATGAGCAGCTCCAGTCCAGAAGCAGCACATACTCTCCGTACCGAGCCACAAACCCTTACACTCAGATCCGAGGCCAGACAAACCCTTCCTTTAAATAAGGAGAGGGAAACTGAATCACTTCACAAATTCCTATAGTGGTGTTTTTTTCCCACGTTAGTGCAATTCATTGAAACCCCTTGATGTAAGAGATGTAAATAGAAGCCATATCAGCTGGGATGTTCAATGTTATATAGCAGATATTGTATGATGTGTTTCTTTATTACTGATATCTTCTATTTTGGTCTGTTATAAGCTGTAATAAATCAGTCTGTCTTTAATTGTTGAAATCTTGACATTTGGTTTATAATTACTAAATTCTGAATTAGTTAGTTGAACATGAATTCTTAATGTATGCCATGTATATCCTCTATGATGAAAAAAAAATCACTTGAGGACTTCTTGCCCTGTACTTTTTTTATTGTTATTGTTCATCTAAAAATTTACTAGAGTTGTCTTTGCTCAGCATTTCAGGTGTGAGTCTCAGTTTTATGTTTAAGTTTTGGTAAATGAGATGAGCTGAAAAATTCTCCAAATCAGAGAATGTGAAAAGCATCTTTCCATATGATTTGTGAAGAAGTGAAATCATTTATCAAATAATTCCAATAGTTTGTAATATTTATAGCAATGTTTGTTTAGTTTTTTCCTTTATTGCCTGATGTGATATAGCTATTAAGTGACAAGCTGTAAATCAGAGATTATCTATTTATCTTCTCATTGGAATTTCAAATAGCATTTGTTTTAAATTTGGGAACAATAAAGTTTGCATTGCTGTTTTTGGAGTTTCAAATGCTTTATAAGGGGCATGATGCAGTTGTTAGCACTGTTGCCTTGCAGTGAGGAGGTCCAGAGGTCTTTCTGCATGGAGTTTACATGTTCTCTCTATGCATGCCTGGATTCTCTCTGGATACTTCAGCTTCCTCCTGTAGTCTAAAAACATGAATCTTAAGTTAATAGATCTGTCTAAATTGCCCTTTGTTCTGTGTGTGTGTGTGTATGTGTGTGTGTGCGTGTGTGTCTCTTACCCACACACACATGCACACACACAGGCAGAGGCCCCCTCACAAGCCTGTTAGAAAAACATAAGGATGTTAGAAAATGGATGTTTTATACGGGTGATCCGAGTATGATGGACATATAACAAAATGTTCATATGTATAAAAGTTTATACTTAATAAAAATTATGTTTAATACTTTAGTTTAAAAGGGAATATAGCTGTTTTGTTGAATATAACTGCAAAATAACACCAAAAAACACTTTTAAAAAAATTGAATAGATGAAGTTATGCATCAAGCAATTAAAGAAATTATTATAACATTTATGCAGGAGAAATGTCTGTCAATTAATTCAACAAAAATATTTACTATACATCAGAAAATTCAGAAATTAAAATCCAGGTGTACTTTGTATTTTTCTCCACCAGAGGGAGCTACTCTACAGAAGCTGAAATCATTTAGTTTTTTGTGTTTTTATTTTTTCATATTTTTATTTCTTGCTTCTTTTATTTCCACTGTAAAGATTCAGTGTTATTAGGGTACTTCACTCCTCCATTAGCAAACTAGTGCAGATGTGGATGTCTGCCATTTTTCTTACAAAGATATCCATAAGTAGCTGTACAGATTGGTGTCAGTACTGTGCTTCAATGAATTTCATAAGGAATATCAATTCAGGAACAACAAACCTCATCATAATAAACTGTAAATTTCCACAGTATGCCATTATCCTGGCATACATGTGTGTTACAATTTCAGACTGGCACAGGAGTTATCGTGCTATTTTAGTCATTTCAATTTATTATGGAAATGAGGTTTTTTTTGCCATTCCATGTCTTTATTTCCATTATCCAAATTGTATATTTTCAGAGCCAACAGATACTCCACCTGCAGGACAAAAATTAAAAATAGAATCTAATGAAAGAGCAAAATATTGAGATTGAAAGACAACGTTCTGCGTCTTTGAAATGACACAAGGTGTTTACCAGCTTGTAATTCCTCTTTGGTGACAGCAGATGTCAGCAAAAGATTAGAACCCAACATTTAAGTCTGGCACCAGCTTAACTGTTTCTGAAACAGACCTGCACATTTCAGCGTAACAGTGACACACAACGAACTTTCTAACCAGATTCCCAAATAGTTATACAACTTGCTCCTGGACTCTTTCATCTGTTGTAGTGGAAACCAAGTTAGGAATTTACAGTTTTGTTTCACAGTTAAACCTTTGCACAGTTTTTATAGCTGTAGCCTTTTCGATAGTTATGACTTTGTGTTCTTAGTATTTAAGTATAATTTCAAATTTACAAAAGAGTTTTGAATATCCAAGAAACTTTGCTTTAGAGATTGAAAGGCTGTGGATGGACCGAAAACATAGAAAATGTTGCTGATTTTCAATAATGTAAATGGAGGAGACACTGAAACCAAGGACGGAACCCTGTGGGACACCTTTGGAAATGAGAAGAAACTGAGAATATTCAACTACTGCACCCTGATAGGTACAGTAGTTAGAAAACCATAAAAAACAACAATCCCAAAGTTGAATAGTATTGCTATTAAAATGGAATCATAAACTGAATCAATAGCTCTTGATAAATCAGTAAAAATTGCAGCACAATGCTGACTGGAGTCCAGAGCAGAGGTTATATCACATAAATCATTTAAAACGTCTGACACATTTATGACCAGAATGGAAACCATGACTGATAAGTTATTGGCCTTAAGATAGCAAGTTTACTGTTTCTAAATAAGTCTGCCCAGGACATTGGAGGCACAAGATAAAATGGAAATCAGCTTGTAGCTGTTCAGGTCAGACGGTGTTTGATGCCTAATAGGTTTCCAGTCAGTTGGTATTTTACTGGTATAGATAAATTGGGCGACGGTCACTGATAGTTCCCTGAATTCAGCATTGATGGGTAAAATAACACTTAAATAATATAATAATAATGAATATCTACAAATTAATACACTAAAAATAAAAGCAAGACTGAGTTCAACTCTTCCTATTTTATGTTCCTATCTGGTCAACATATCCCCCAGGGATGTAATGCCTTATTAGCTAAGCAGTTTAAAAGTTATTAATAGTTTTTTACACAAAAATATTTATTAAATCTCTCTTACAGAAGATCATTTACAAAACCAGGTCCTCTGATATCAGTAAGTATCTGAAAAATATATGTTACCTTTTTGTTGGGATCACCAGGGACCAGTTTTAACATCTCCAATGTCCACAAATGAAAGAACAGCCATGTAAAATAAACCCAGGATGAAACCTGAACACTACTGCTTCAGGTTTGATCATGTGATTTCTCTTGCTTTTATAGCCTTTAGTCTGTTAACACTGGGGTATTTCATAGGCTTTATTTACTATACAAAACCTTCTTAAATAGTTTATTATGACTGATTCAGAATAAGTCAATGTATTGTATCTCAGAATATTTTATACTTGTGTATAATTACAGATGTTTGGTTGC